TGACCACGGAAGATTGTCTTCGGACAAACGCTGGCTCTATGGCTTGGAAACGGGGATGAGCACCGGCCCCTAGAGTCGAACACGACTGGACAAAAATTGTCAAGGGGAACCTTTACCTTTTACCTTATCATTGCCAACCTGGGGAGTTTCTGTCGTGAGTGGGGATTTGAACCCAGGTCTCTTTGTGTCCCACTCTGACACTCCATCTACCTCACCCCAGGGGCTTTCACAGAAGTCCCTCCCTGTTGCCAAAATGACCATAAAGTAACCACAAAGTAGGTGCTGGGGCAAACTCTTCTGAAGGAATCTCCCTTAGCTAAAGAGCTTCTACCAAAAAAGGTCCTCTTCCCTATCCATCTTGGAAAAACTACTCTCTCTCTCTCTTTACTGTTAGTCTCCAAACCTCTCAGTCAGCATAATGTGTGGCTCCTTGTATCCCAATTGTATCACACTTGGTGTATCATCTCAAGAAGGATTTCTGAAGATGATCTCAAAGACCAAAAAGCACATATCCGATGAAGTATTTTTTGGATAATCTGTTTCTATGACAATAAAAGGACCATAAAACTCCAAACCAGGAATTTGAATTGAACCTAGAAACAGGCTAGAATTCTAAGTCAACCTTATTTATGGATACCTTTCATGCAAGTCATGGAAGGTACTGGCTTAGAATCTTAATAAGCACAAGATAAAAGCAGTGAAAAGCAGTGGGAAAAGGAAAGAAAAATAAGGAATTGCAGAAAGTTATTCAATATACCTAAATGTATAATGAAAGAGCTTGAAAGTTACTTTTCTCGACACCAATTCCCAATCCCCCCCCCCCCCCGCTCCAGCATGGCCACTGGGCAATGTTGGCAGAATGGTGCTCCTGTAGTCCTAAAAGTTACTCTTCCAAACTCTGCACAATCCTTGGGGAGAATGAAGGGGTAGCCCTGTAACTCTGACCTTTCCTGTATCTTCAAACCCTATTAGTTGCCAACCTATGTTGTAGTTAGGGATGGCTGCCACCTAGTGTCTGAAGCTGCTACTGCAGGAATCAAACAGAAGAACTGAAATTAATCTGAGTTAAACACACTACAACCATGAAAACTGTGCAATGTGGCAAATATGAATCTAGAACCCAACAACGAGGTCAAGAGATACCTAGAACCCTAAATGTGAGGCAGAAGCAGAGGAAATGGAAATTGAGCAAGAGGGCTGTGAGAGAAAAGAATGGCTTCTTCTACGCCGGTTTCTCAGCTACAGTTGTTTTTGAGAATGGGGGACCACTTAACAAGTTAGAGCATTATGACAATAGAACCTGTTGCCTTGGGAGGTGCTAAGCTCTCCAACACTGCAAATGTTCAAGAGAAAGCTAGACAGCCATCTGTCAGATAGGCTTTATCTTGTATTCTTGCATCGAGCCCTATGTGTGTTGGATTTGATGGCCTTACACGCCCTTCCAACGCGATTATTACATGATTCTACGAACTTCTGTGTAGTACAGCTGCAATCATGTGAGCTAGAGCTGAAATGAAATCTTGTACAGATTCAGACTTAAATGGGGAAATTTCAGCGTGGGAGAATTTGGAACATTTCATATCTCAATGCTTTTATTTCAGCACTGGACAGCATGGGGCACCTTAACAAAGAAATCCATTGTCATCCCTGGGATTCTGTGTCCCGAAACACCATATTCCTCAGGCTGGATTTACTGCTCAAATGAAGATCCCATGTATACTCCTTGGTCTTTTAAATAAGGTGGAGAATTTGGAACATTTCATATCTCAATGCTCTCATGCTTTTATTTCAGCACTAGACAGCATGGGGCACCTTAACAAAGAAATCCATTGTCATCCCTGGGATTTTGTGTCCCGAAACACCATATTCCTCAGGCTGGATTCACTGCTCAAATGAAGATCCCATGTATACTCCTTGGTCTTTTAAATAAGGTGGAGCCCAGAGACCTTGAAATGGATTTCCATGGCGTCAGTGATTCAGGGGTTAAATTGTGGGTCGAGGAACTCAGAAGACCTGGATTCAAATCCCCACTTAGCTATTAAAAAACATATAAGTCCTTGGGTAGCTTTGGATAAGTCACATTTTCCTCAGACTGACCTATCGCCCAGGGCTGTAGTGCAAGGGGAGGTGGAGAGCATGGCGTCAGTGATTCAGGGGTTAAATTGTGGGTCGAGGAACTCAGAAGACCTGGATTCAAATCCCCACTTAGCTATTAAAACATATAAGTCCCTGGGTAGCTTTGGATAAGTCACATTTTCTGTGAATGGGGAAATTTCGCTTAGCGATGATCGGTTCCCTGCTCCTGGAACCAATTTTTCACTTTAGCTGTTTGCTGATCAGCTGTTTGCTGATCGTCGGGTTTCAAAATGGCTGATGGCTTTCGAAATGGCCCCCACTATTTTCTAGGATGGATTCCTTCGCTATACAGGCACCGAAAATGGCTGCCATATGGAGGATCTTTGCTGGTATTCAGCCCATTGGAATGCATTGAACAGTTTTCAATGCATTTCAATGGTTTTTTTTTAAATTTCGTTTGACGATGTTTTCGCTCTACAGCGATTTCACTGGAATGAATTAACATCGTCAAGTGAGGCACCACTTTATTGCCCTATTGAGGACACTGGAAGAGAGGGACTGGTAGAATGAATGAATGAATGAATGAATGAATGAATGAATGAATGAATGGGTGGAGACTGCAGTTTTAAACCTTCGAGGGACAGCACATGGAAACAGGAGAGGATGCTTGACTTCTCTCCCCGCTGACTGTTTTTCCATCCCAAATGGGATATATATTTATTCCTGGAAAAACAACATGGATACAGGGCGGGTAGGTCCACTCTGCGGGACCTGGATCTCTTCTGGGTTTCAGTCTGAACTTTGCAGGAGCCATTGATGCCCAAATGTGTCCAAAATATGTCTAGATCGTTTGTGCAAATCCCTGACTAAACCCCAAAGGAGACCCCACACTAATGTTACAACCACCAATTCGGGCTCCCAACCTGCTAGTGTTGAAATCCTGGAGCAGAAAGATGGGATCAGGAAAACCAGGGGTTGGGGGTCTGATGGAGGGGTGGGTGGGCTACTGACCCTTGGAGGGGGCAAATAGGATGAACAGGATGACCAGAGTTGGAGGGCATTTCCAGTCCTCCCGGCCTAAAACAAAACTGGATTCATCAGCCACCACAGCTATAAAACCCGTGTATGTGGGGAATTAGCCCCTGTTGAACTCAGTGCAACGTATAAACAGAAAGTCTGGAAAAGTTACTTTCTTCAAGGACAACTTTCCATGTTGACTGGGAGATTCTGGGTGGTCTAGCTCCCCCCCCCAATGATTCCAACTTCTTTGTCGAGGCAGTAATATATAGGATTGCACTGTTGATAAGCTGTAATTTTGTGCCCATTTTTCAGGGAGTAAGCCCCTTAAATGTGTCTTATTTCAAAGAAAAGAGGCATCCAAAGCTGGTGGGTGTTGGAGTTCAAAATCCCGCCTTTTAGTGCCACCTAGATTGATGATTTAGAAAAGAAAATCCAGTGTAAGGAGGTATCACTGGAAACCAGACCAAGGTCATCCACACTCTTGTATTTCGAATCACCATGTATGGGTGTGGAAGTTGGACAGTAAAGAAAGTTGACCGGGGAGGGGGAAATGATTCATTTGAAATGTGCTGGAGGAGAGCTTTGTGGATACCCTGGACTGCCAGAAAGATGAATGAGTGGGATCCCAGATCAAATCAAGGCTGAACTTTCTTTGGAAGCTAAAAGGTTGAAGCTGAGTCTGTCCTCCTTTGGGCACATCATCCTGAGAAGACAGGATTTTCTGGAATAGACCACAAGGGTGGGAAAAGTGGAAGGCAGCAGGAAAAGAGGGAGACCCAATGTGAGATGGACTGATGCAAGGGGAAGCCACAGACTTGCATTTGCAAGACCTGAGCAGGTGTGTTATGGACAGGAACTTTGGAGATCCCTCATTCATAGGGTCACCATAAGACTTGCCAGCACGTAACAACAATTGTTGTTCTTTAGTCGTTTAGTCGTGTCCGACTCTTTGTGACCCCATGGACCAGTGCACACCAGGCCCTCCTGTCTTCCACTGCCTTCCAGAGTTGGTCGAATTCATGTTGGTAGCTAATGACCCTGTCCAATCATCTCATCCTCTGTCGCCCCCTTCTTTTCTTGCCTTCACACTTTCCCAACATCAGGGTCTTTTCCAGGGAGTCTTCTCTTCTCCTGAGATGGTCAAAGGATTGGAGCCTCAGCTTCAGGATCTGTCCTTCCAGTGAGCACTCAGGGTTGATTTCCTTCAGAATGGATAGGTTTGATCTCCTTACAGTCCAGGGGACTCTCAAGAGTCTCCTCCAGCACCACAGTTCAAAAGCATCAGTTCTTCAGCGGTCAGCCTTCTTTATGGTCCAACTCTTACTTAACAACAAGTCACCATAAATCAGCGGTAACCTAAGAGCAGGGACCAACAACAACCGAGCGGGGAAGAAATCTGGAGAAATGTAAACCCTGCTTCTTTTATGGAGGTGGCCTTGATCTCCCGCCTTGAGCCAAGGAGGTTGGATGTCAGCCTTCTTGATGGTCCAGCTCTTACTTAACAAGTCGCCATAAATCAGCGGTAACCTAATAGCAGGGGCCAACAACAACCGAGCTAGGAAGAAATCTGGAGAAAGGTAAACCCTGCCTCTTTTATGGAGGTGGCCTTGAGCCAAGGGGGTTGGTTGGATGGATGGCCTTACAGGTCCCTTCCAACTTCACGGTCCTACGATTGATCCTCATGAAGCCCGTTTTGCCAAACCCGCGGATTTCGTTCCATCCGTATAGATAGAACGACGCAGCATCTATCCATCCATGGAAGAGGAAAGATCTCAAGAGGACCAACCACCCAAGAAAGAGTTAAGAGCTCCCCTCCCCCTCCTCTGTCTCGGACATCCCACCCCCCCGCCTCCTCCTTCTCCTCCTCCTGGCCCCTAAATGAGAAAACGGAGGCGGGTGCGGGGGTGGGAAGCGGTCGGAAGGAAGGAGCGGAAGGGCTCCAGTCCTCCTCCTCCTCCGGCTCTCTCCCTTTCTCTGCCCGGTTTGCATCGGTGGCCCAGGCAACGAGCGGCCAGGGCGGACGGAGCCCACAAGGCAGGTCGGCGGAGAGACGCGCACAGGGAGCGCGCCGCGATCCAAGGCGGGGAGGCGGCGGCGAAGAAGATGATGATGATGCGGCGCCCGCCTCCGGGATCCTGCCGGCCACAACCCTCGCCCCCTTCTCCGCCTCCCGATCCAGCCTCGAGGGCGTCTTAGGACTCGCACCGAGGACCCGGCGGCGAGGCGGGGATCCGAACCCACCACCTCGGGGTCGCGCTCCGGCACTCGCGGTCCTCCGGCACTCGCGGACAGGGGTGGAGAAGGGGGCCTCGATCCGAGGCCATGGCCGTCCAAGCGGCCACTCTCTACCCCCATCATCCTTTCCTCTCCTTCTGTTTTTCTCCCGCGGCGGCGGAGCCGGAGAAAAGCTACGGGGACGGGGGATCGCTTCTGCTCCGCGGGGACGGGAGGGGCAGCGATCCGGGCGACCTCAAGGAAGCCACCCGGGACCTCTTGAGCTTCATCGACTCGGCCTCCAGCAACATCAAGCTGGCGCTGGACAAGCCCGGGAAGTCCCGGCGGAAGGTCAACCACCGCAAGTACCTGCAGAAGCAGATCAAGCGCTGCACCGGCATGATCGCGGGAGGAGGAGGAGGAGGAGGGAGCGGCGGGACCCCCACGGCCGCCCCCTCCCCGGCCAGCCCGGAGGCTGCCTCGAATATGAGCAATAATAATAATAATAATAATAGCCACCCGCTTCAGACGACTAATAAAAAGTCCACTTCGGCCGGCGGCTCTCTATCGCCTCCTGGCGGCAGCGGCGCGCCCAACAAGCCGACGGGGAAGCGGGAAGGAAGCGGCATCTCTTAAAATCCTGCAAGACAGGGCAATGGCGTGATAAACATTTCTGAAACAGTTGTAAACGAGTTCATCCTCATCTTGGAACGGCAGAGCTTAATGGACCCTATGGATCATGGAGTCCAGCCCTTTGCCGAAAAGGCACAATGGGGAATTGAACTCTCAGCCTCCGGTTCAGACCTAAACCGTTGAGCTATCCATCAGGCAGAGCTTGGAAATTTCCTTTTTAGATTCCAGCTCTGGGACAGGTTGACTGGGGAATTCTGGGAGTTGTAGTCCGAAAGGAACCTTTCTGGTCTGTCCAGAGTGCATTTAGATGTGTGCTAATTTAGTTTCTTGTTTGCACAGCTGTTTATACCTGTTATTGAAAAAAAAAACATTTTCAACATGGTGATAAAACAAGCATCTGTAATTATGTACCTACTGGACTGCCCCACCCCCCGCTAGTCTGGGAGTTAAAATACTGTTGTAAATGCAAGGAAAGGATTAAATAGCATCAGTATCCAATAGCATCAAATGTGGTGTGCCCTGACACATGCGCATGCAGCTGTTGCCATTGGGTCTATTTGATGCTACCTTTATTGCTTGTCACTCTTTTGGGGTCCCTTGTATGAGAGATCTATGATTTTGGCTCCAAAGTTGAGTCTATAGGCAAACAAAACCTCTGTCAATAGGACTTCGAAGGCTATTAAGACCTTCAAAACACTACAGATCCTATCATTCTTTGGGAAAGGCCAGGCTCGTTCAACGAGTATGAACCAACCTCACTGTCTTGACTCTCGTCCTGACGTTTCAGGTTTCTGAATGGCAGTAGAAAGTGGCGCAACCCAAGAACAAATCTTTGCTTAAGCAATGATTTTTTTAAAAAAAGTTGCTACACACAGGTGTGTTAGTCGCCAGTGGGGAAATTTTGGACGGGGGTGGACCTTGTTAGCTGTCACCTTCACAGGGATGGAGCATGATGCTAGTAATTTAAGACCCATGTTGCATGCATTCCGACTTAGGGCCACCCTTTCCGTGGTTTCCTAGGTGTATCAAGGACTCGGCAGAGTTCTCACCCAGGTCCTCCCGGGGGTCCTCTGGCCAGCTTGCCCAAGGCCACCCAACTTGGAGGTGGTTCATCAGCTGCTTGGGATCCCCCAACCTTGGGTAAGCCAAGTTGTTCTTGGACTGCGCCCCCCAGAAATCTTGGCTGGCCCAGAGGGTGGGGAAGGCTTCTGGGAATTGCAGTCCCAACAAGAAGGTTGATTTGGGCTGGGTGGTCTCCCTGGGAGGCCTCTGGCTCTGCAGCCATGCACACCCATCCACTGAGTTATACCGAGATCCTTCTCTGATAGCCTTAAGGATATTCGTTGAGATCATACACTCTTCAGGGTTGGGGGGCTTAATGCGGGTCCCCCAACATCAGAACTTGAAAACATCTACATCTCTTTTGTACTCTCCTCCACAGAACCCTGGCCGTTGTAATCCAAAACTTTTCCAGGCTGCACCAGGAGTGGATGGACTCCAGTTCCCATCAGCCTTCACCAGCTTAGGGTGAGGGAAGATGGGAGTCGCTGTCTCGGAAAGCTATCCCTTCCCAACCTTATTTTGGGATGTTTCTCGGCAGACGACACCTTAGGCTCCCAATCAATCAATCAAAAGGCATATTAGAGCCATATTTTTGTCTTGCCTAAAAAGGGGGAGAAAGGGATCAAGAAGGGGCCAGTGACGGGGGACCTGGGAGAATTTAACATTTTCTGGGCATCTCTTAAAATCCTGCAAGACAGGGCAATGGCGTGATAAACATTTCTGAAACAGTTGTAAACGAGTTCATCCTCATCTTGGAACGGCAGAGCTTAATGGACCCTATGGATCATGGAGTCCAGCCCTTTGCCGAAAAGGCACAATGGGGAATTGAACTCTCAACCTGAGCTATCCATCCCTCCCGCCCTGCCCTACGAGTTCGGCCCCGGGTATAACCGAGGGGTGCCTTACCCCAGCCTTTAGTGGTGGGAAAGGAGGAGGAAGAGGAGGAGGAGGAGGAAGGCTCTGGGAACGTGGGGTGAAGATGGGCAAATCCCTGAAACAAGGGGGTACAGACATCTCGGTGATGCAACACAATGGGGTGTGTATGTGTGTGATGGACCCTTAGACCTTTGGGGGTGGACCTTGTTAGCTGTCACCTTCACAGGGATGGAGCATGATGCTAGTAATTTAAGACCCATGTTGCATGCATTCCGACTTAGGGCCACCCTTTCCGTGGTTTCCTAGGTGTATCAAGGACTCGGCAGAGTTCTCACCCAGGTCCTCCCGGGGGTCCTCTGGCCAGCTTGCCCAAGGCCACCCAACTTGGAGGTGGTTCATCAGCTGCTTGGGATCCCCCAACCTTGGGTAAGCCAAGTTGTTCTTGGACTGCGCCCCCCAGAAATCTTGGCTGGCCCAGAGGGTGGGGAAGGCTTCTGGGAATTGCAGTCCCAACAAGAAGGTTGATTTGGGCTGGGTGGTCTCCCTGGGAGGCCTCTGGCTCTGCAGCCATGCACACCCATCCACTGAGTTATACCGAGATCCTTCTCTGATAGCCTTAAGGATATTCGTTGAGATCATACACTCTTCAGGGTTGGGGGGCTTAATGCGGGTCCCCCAACATCAGAACTTGAAAACATCTACATCTCTTTTGTACTCTCCTCCACAGAACCCTGGCCGTTGTAATCCAAAACTTTTCCAGGCTGCACCAGGAGTGGATGGACTCCAGTTCCCATCAGCCTTCACCAGCTTAGGGTGAGGGAAGATGGGAGTCGCTGTCTCGGAAAGCTATCCCTTCCCAACCTTATTTTGGGATGTTTCTCGGCAGACGACACCTTAGGCTCCCAATCAATCAATCAAAAGCTCTTAAAATCCTGCAAGACAGGGCAATGGCGTGATAAACATTTCTGAAACAGTTGTAAACGAGTTCATCCTCATCTTGGAACGGCAGAGCTTAATGGACCCTATGGATCATGGAGTCCAGCCCTTTGCCGAAAAGGCACAATGGGGAATTGAACTCTCAGCCTCCGGTTCAGACCTAAACCGTTGAGCTATCCATCAGGCAGAGCTTGGAAATTTCCTTTTTAGATTCCAGCTCTGGGACAGGTTGACTGGGGAATTCTGGGAGTTGTAGTCCGAAAGGAACCTTTCTGGTCTGTCCAGAGTGCATTTAGATGTGTGCTAATTTAGTTTCTTGTTTGCACAGCAGTTGCATACTTTACAGCTGTTTATACCTGTTATTGAAAAAAAACACATTTTCAACATGGTGGTGATAAAACAAGCATCTGTAATTATGTACCTACTGGACTGCCCCACCCCCCGCTAGTCTGGGAGTTAAAATACTGTTGTAAATGCAAGGAAAGGATTAAATAGCATCAGTATCCAATAGCATCAAATGTGGTGTGCCCTGACACATGCGCATGCAGCTGTTGCCATTGGGTCTATTTGATGCTACCTTTATTGCTTGTCACTCTTTTGGGGTCCCTTGTATGAGAGATCTATGATTTTGGCTCCAAAGTTGAGTCTATAGGCAAACAAAACCTCTGTCAATAGGACTTCGAAGGCTATTAAGACCTTCAAAACACTACAGATCCTATCATTCTTTGGGAAAGGCCAGGCTCGTTCAACGAGTATGAACCAACCTCACTGTCTTGACTCTCGTCCTGACGTTTCAGGTTTCTGAATGGCAGTAGAAAGTGGCGCAACCCAAGAACAAATCTTTGCTTAAGCAATGATTTTTTTAAAAAAAGTTGCTACACACAGGTGTGTTAGTCGCCAGTGGGGAAATTTTGGACGGTCCAGATGTTTTGGATTCTAGTGCTGAGAATCCCCAGCCGGTGTGGCCAGTGGGAAAGGATTTTGGGAGGTGTAGTCAGAAAGGCCAGTGTCACATCTGTTGAAGAGGCCGTGGTGGAGGCGTGAGATCCATCCTAGATTCAGAGAATTCCTGTCCTGGCAGGTGGGTTGGACTAGATGACCCTTAGAGTCCCTTCCGGTGGTGCAGTTTTGAATCTATGCATGGCAGAGGATGGGTGAACTATTACACTGTTCATCCAGCAGGGAGGCTGAGGTTCTGAAATGAAACACAGATTCTGTTCCCCTTCTTCTTTGTACCTATTGATTTTCAGTCCAGGGCATTTTGATTTCTAGTACCCCCCATGGGAAGAGAAACAGCTGACCTTCCAGATTTGGCCCTTGCCAGGAGAGCTAGTGATAAGGAACCCTGGGAGTGGCAATCCGAAAACATGCAGAAATAGCTCATCACCCACCGCAGGGTTCAATGTTTCCAGCCAGTCGCATAGCAGAACAGCTTGCCAAGAGCTTAGGCAGAATCTGAAAGTCCTTTGAAATCAGTTGCAAGATTTTAAAGTTGCTGCTGTAAACATTTGTACCTGGGAAGAAACTTTACTGGAATTTGGAGGGGCTTAATTCTGTGCAAACCTGCATCAGAGTAGTGGTGGGGTCCCTATAGCTTAGTGATCGCAGTTTGCATGCTAAACATCATAACCTCAATACCTAAACTCTCCAGGTCAATTTGTGGGAAGGTTGCTGTCTGAAACCCTGGAGAGACACTGGCAGTCTGTATCCTAAAGGCTGGGATCCTTTGACCCACAAGGTAGTCTAGCAATAATCCCATAATCCTTAACCAACAGCATCTGGAGGATGATGGGTTTCCTTACTCTTAGTAGATGCTAAGCTAGAGAAGGATCAATGGTTTTGCATGGCACAAGGCAGCCTAGAGTTGGGGGAGGAATATCCTTTTTAGACTCCAACTCTCAGAATCCCTCCCTAGTGAGGGGGATTCTGGGAGTTGTAGTCCAGAATTATTCCCTATAAACTCTAGTTTTGATCTATACAAGCTCTGATCAGTAACATTTTAAAACCCACATAGTGCAACGGAGCTAGAGTCGGTCCATTGAATCAGTGGGGTTTTCGTGAACCAACTCCTCCACAAATTGCACGGATTCAGTGGGCTTGCTCTTCTTGCAGCTTACCACTGGTCTCAG